ATATATATATATATATATATATATATATATATATATATATATATATATATATACACGCAGACATATGTGTGTATATATACTCACAGATATATCTCTGTTCACATCTATCGCAGTCTGTTTCTATCTCTCTCTCTCTCTCTCTCTATATATATATATATATATATATATATATATATATATATATATGTCTATCTCAGTCTATCCACATCTATCTCAGTCTGTTTCTATCTATATATCTATACACATACACAGACGCACACACAGATATATATATATATATGTGTGTGTGTGTGTGTGTGTGTATGTGTGTGTGTGTGTGTGTGTGTGTGTGTGTGTGTGTGTGTGTGTGTTTTTGTGTGAAAAGTGTATATAAATAAATATATATATGTATAATTATTTATATATTATATGCGCGGTACTTATTAGAAAGCGCTCAATATCAGAGATAGAGCTAACTTATTTGGTTGGATAGATGTGAGTTTGTGACCCTGGGTTTCACGCTTTAGCGATCGTCAGTTTTGTCTGACGATAGCTAAAGCGTGAAACCCAGGGTCACAAAACTCACATCTCTCCAACCAAATATATATATATATATGTATGTATGTATGTATTTAACTAGGTAGATAAATAGAAACAGACAAATTCATACGAGTAGATTGCAATAGACCGATCAGGTAAAACGGTAAGTGCAAAAACGGTATGATAGAATATAAAGAAATTTATTATTCGGTGTAAACATGAGAACGGCTTTGGAAAATGTCCATGCATATGTACAATTGTCTGACACTCATCAGCTACAAGTGGCTTTTTTTTTCAGAATGCTTTTGCTGTGAGAATGGCTCCGCCTAGTGGTCGTCTAGTGTGAACGATTTGGAAAAGGACAGATCAGATGTCAGAAATAAAAAAACGGCATTGCATAAAGATGGGTGAAGTTAAAGAAAAGAGGAAAGTTCAGAAATAAAAAAGAAGATTCGTTGACGTATCAAATCCATAAAGGAAAAAAAAAGTACTTTCCGTCTAGATGCTAAATGAAAGACCACATATACAAAGCCAATTTCACGTATATATAGACGTGTCTGCCTTATGTTTGAGTTCGCATGTGCGTCATTGTAGAGATGTGTATAGGCAGGACGTCATCAAGTTGATTGTAGAGGATAGAGAGAACATCATTCTTTCTTTCTTTTTATATGCCATGTCCTTTCAGGACGCAGGCGATCATGGCTCTCCACCTCCCTCTATCCCTTGCAGCTTTCAACAAGTTCCTTCCCTCTACTTCCTCCCCCAGACCACTTTCTTGTCATTCACTTGCTTAAGCCCGACGGATATATCACGCGTTGTTTTCTTATGTTACTCGTTCCCTTTATTCGACCCGTGAGTATCAGATTATCCAGGACTTCCTTCCTCATTCTGTTTCTCAGAAACTTCAGCTACCTATTAAGGATAAGACCGCATCGTTGCTCATACGCTCGGTCCATGATATCCTTAGCATCCTTATGTAGAACCACATCTCTGTCGCCTCGAGTGTCTTCTTCATCTTTGAGGAAATCGTCCAACATTCGCTGTCGTAAAGAATGACAGATGTCGCGTAACAGCTCAGTACTTTTTTCTTTGTTACCAAAGAAGCCCTCCTGTCTCGCAATACTCTGCCCAACTTTTGAATGTGTCCTTGGCCGTCTACGGATTTCAATGTCGCACTTACCGTCCTCTGTCAAGACGCTTCCCAAATATTTAAATTTTTCCGCATCTGCTTGATTCTACAGGTCAGATATTCAAATTTAATTCAATAATAGTGGATTATTCTTCCTTATGTCCCTAACTACACACACTTACGCATTTGTGTAACTCTTCGTGTACAATCGGTTACCTCAAGCCATTTTTTCATTGTATGTAATGTGTCCATTCTGGACGTGCGCAAACAAAGCTCTTCACAATTAACAGTCAATTAAGAGATCATAATGATTTTTGTCTTGCGCCGTTATCAGCTTAAGTTATGCGTCGTTTTACTCTGTTTTCAAGGAACTTTCTCAACTGTATCTTTCTGATGTTGAGTATGTACCCTTTTTGTTTCCATTTTCTCTAAGACTTCGTCGATGCTCGCATATTCAAGGCATGGTATTCTCAGCACTCTTCTCTAGTAATATATAAAATCCAAAATAAAAGAATCTTCTATTTTAATTCCAGAAATGGTCGAGAGGGGAAAAGTGACACCTTGCCTAAAATGTTTCTTTAATCTGTATTTCATTAGTGGTATCGGGTAATGGATGATTTCATAGAGCTTAACAGCTCCAGTGGACGAATATGCTATTAAATATTAACATTAAGTTTTTGCTTTATCCAAGTGTACGGCCTATGTGTTCTTAGTTTGTTGGGTCCACTAGACCATCAGTGTCATTTGATACGAAGAATATATGAGCCAAAACGTTGCCATCTTCATCAAAGAGTAAAAAATGGAAGATATGTATTCGAACAACTTGAGAAAATACTATGCAGTGTTATAGTAAATTTTGCGAGTATGTAAATCCATTACAAAAAGTAACTTATTTATGCTTTTATTTTTCGTGTGTGATCTTCTGGTGTTCATACAAAATAAGATGTTTTCCGAATTAAAATTTAACACAACTTTCAAGTTAATTATTTTAAAAGCAAGGATGCTTTCTTTTCATTTCTAACTCGGAACAAAACCTGTTTTCAGAGACGGATCAGTTAGTAGCGTAAATGATGCTATCTTGATCCTCCGCTCAGATGAAGCCGGCAGAGAGTTAATCCTTTTTAACATGAAGTAAGTTAATTAATGAGAAATGCAGGAACTTATTTGTCACTTTACACTAAACGTATCAAACGGGTAATTAAAAGGGACGTATTTTATAAATAACTTCAAGTAATAACGCACCTTTTAACGCCTTCACCTTTCTTATGTCTTCCAGAACTTTCAATGGTATTTTTCCGATTCGAATTATATGTGTCGTTTTTGTTTCCATTTTCCCTTAAACTTCGTCGTTACTCACATTTTCAGTCCACTGCATTTCTCAGCATACGTCTGTAAGACCAGATTTCTGTTATTTCAAATCTCTTCTTATTTTTGTATTTCTAAAGATTCAAACGTGTAGAATGGAAGAATTCAGAAGTATACCTCCGAAATAGAGAAATTCATCGAATATTTTCATCGCCAGCTTCTGGAGCGGGGGAAAAAAAAGAAAGCATTCACGTTATGTTTTCCTTATAATTAAATCGCCACATGTCCTTTATTCTTGTCGCATGATTACCCATGGCAACATGAGGAGATATCTTCCTTATTAATATTTTTTTCATAGCTGGCATCTGCATTTTATTTACTATGCACATTAGCATATGTTTAGACGATCTCATGACCGGATTGGTAAGGTCAATTGCATTAAGCCAATTCCCTGGTTGGGAATGGTTTGCCTGCCTAGAAAACCAGCATTTAAAATTCAAATTATTCCCATATTCTTTCATATTTTGTTTTTGCAAATACAGAAAACGATAAAGAATAACTGAAAAGCAGTCAAAGAATTAAGAAGGGGCTGTAAAAGGTTTTCTGTCAAATCCAATTTCCTAAATTAATTTTCGCGTCCATTCTTTGTTGAATCTCGTGATATATATATATATATATATATATATATAGTAAGGTAATATATGAATAGTAAGGTAATATATATATATATATATATATATATATATATATATATATATATATATATATATATATATATAGATACACCTAGTGAGCCAAACTTTCCCTGACGATCCGTTTAGGTGAAACCTAGGTAGGTTTGTCTGGCTCACTAGGTGTATCTAGGTCTGCTCTACGGTTGTATTGAGCTCTTTTGTTAGTTAGTTGTTACTCGTATCGGGGTTTTTTTCTTTGGGCTTCAGACCTGCATCTGTGCGATTTTTTTTTGTCGGCAGAAGTTCATGTTTGTAGCTCTTTCTTTTTTAAAACCTTTTTTTCCCTCGAGATTGATTTGATTAGCAAATAAAAAATTCGACGGTTTCGAAACGAGTCTAGAGTCTAGTTATATATATATATATATATATATATATATATATATATATATATATATATATATATATATAGTAAGGTATATATGTATAGTAAGGTAATGAAGGGATCGGTTTCCAAAGATGATGCAATCCAGGGAGCTCAATGTAACAGCATAGCAAATATTAATTAAATAATTAAGAAAGAGAAAACCTTAAGGGTCCATGACTATAATTTATTGCCCCAATAAAAAATATTTTTCGTGGTTTACCATGTCACATCACTAGTTACAAAGGAATTTGTCTTGTAATTTGGTTTAGAATTTGGAAAGAAAATTCTATCGTAACTAGAGATGTGACCTGCTGAACCAGGAAAAATATTTTTTCTGCGAAAATAAATTATAATCATGAAACATTAAGATTATCTTTTTCTTTTTTTTATATATATTTATATATATATATATATATATATATATATATATATATATATATATATATATATATATACTGACTCTCCTCGTCGAATTCGACGTATGAGGTCAAGGAGATCAGTTCTAGGAAACCGACAGCCCAACAGCACATGTGATTTGATTATAGTGGTGAAGGTTTCGTGCAGGACTATCCACTCTTTTTGAAGGGCCAAATACAGAGACCTGGTGCACTACGTGCCACAAAGTCACCAAACGACCCTCCGCAGGTTTTGAATTCAGAGATGTCCTTCTCCCAGACCAGTTGCCATCCAAGGCTATAGAACTCAGTGTGTCCTGGTATTTACCCATAGCTGGAGGGAGAAGAGGATTCACACCTTTCCCAAGGGTATTAGCACGTAATTGAATGTAATGGATTCGATTGGAATTCGAACTCGGCTCTACATTACTCCACCGCGCCTTCCATATATATATATATATATATATATATATATATATATATATATATATATATATATATATATATATATATATATATATTACACAATAATGTTCATCTTGTACATTCGGTGTTCAAATCAGTGTCCACACTTCTGAGATAGATAGATAGATAGATAGATAGATAGATAGATAGATAGATAGATAGATAGATGCTGATGTATATGCTGACAACAGTTAATAGTTATGTTCTTAATTTGGGAAAATTTGAAACCATGGAATATTATGGCGCAGTATTTATAGCCATACCCAACTGGAACATCACAGTAAATTATGCAGGTCCATTGTTAAAAAGATTATTCTCAATTAGAACTGTGTCTTTAAATATCTATATTTCTTTTCTTATTACCGTTTTTGAGTAGACATTCCTGTTTATATTTTAAGTAGGAAAATTAATGCCTGCTGTCTTTGAGATCAAATATTACTATACCAAATTATATATATATATATATATATATATATATATATGTGTGTGTGTGTGTGTGTGTGTGTGTGTGTGTGTGTGTGTGAGTGTGTATGCGGGTAATGAGACTGTCATCTGTAATGAAATTAGGATCGGCAAGAAGAGTTCAAATTGTCGCCGCATATCCTCTCGATTAGATAGCAGAGTAGCCTATGTTGTTTAAATTTTCAAAAAAGGTCATCTCTGAATTGCAAACTGGAGAAGCCAACAGGAAACTATTCTATTATTTTCCCAAGAAGAGAAGTCAATTCAAAGATAATAAATAAAAGGAAGCTGTGAAGAGTATATGCCACCGATGTCCTGAAGAATATGCATATCCGTGTATGAGTAGGTGTAAAAAAATGTTTCAAGCCTCGCCAACTGCACTGACTTTAACTAAAGATTGTATTTTGTAAATCGATTCTTACTTGGGCCGAGAACTTTTCAGTACTCATTTCGTAAAATGTCTCGGGACAAGCGTAAGGGTCGGTTTCATATCACGAGAAATCATTTTCCTTTGTTAAAATTTCGAGCTTGTTCGCATTAAATAGCCTTGAAAATTGAAAAGATAGCGGTGAAAAAGTATGGGAAAATGTCATCAAAATAACGTCATATTTGACACAGTGAATTGTTCACGTATAATTGCAAACGAAATAAAAATAGCATATCATAGAATCTCGCTTTTGGTGTGCGTATTTCCATGTTTCTGTTTCAATATTCATATCGATCACAGGCTTTATCTCATTCTCTTTATTTCGACCTGTCGGTCTCTGTCTTTCTTTTGTTTTTTGTTTTTTTCCAATCTATATCCATTTTATATCTGCTTCTCTGTCACACACTGATTTTCATTGTCTCAATCCTTGTTTCTCTCTCTTGAATTTTTCTTATGTTCGCTTTGTATGCATGTTCACACACACACACGCACACACACACACACACATATATATATATATATATATATATGTGTGTGTGTGAAAAATGTATATAAATATAAATAAATATATATATGTATAATTATTTATATATTATATGCGCGGTACTTATTAGAAAGCGCTCAATATCAGAGATAGAGCTAACATATTTGGTTGGATAGATGTGAGTTTGTGACCCTGGGTTTCACGCTTTAGCGATCTTCAGAAAGCGTGAAACCCAGGGTCATAAAATCACATCTATCCAACCAAATACATATATATATATATATATATAGAATGAGAGAAAGAACAGATGAAGTAAAATTCCGCTGTTCGTAACATTTAATTTTAAAAACAAAGTACCTGAAGTAGAGAAATATATTATTATTTTTAGTCTAAGATATTATAACAAAAACATGTTGAAATCGCTGCACAATAGCTTTCGAGTTTCGGCAACTTTTTACTTCTTCAGGCGATGGTATGTAACTGGTGATTAAATGATTTTAAGAAAATTTCAACAAGCAAAGTGTTACCTCTTTTCCGAAAGATATAGAGAGTGGTGAGAAAACATAATCGGAATATGACTTGTTCAATTTTTCAAACGATGCTAGTGGAAGGGGTAGGAGGATAATCAGAGATAAAGTTCAATGCAACAGATTTTTTTTAATTTCAGATTCTTAAAGGAACCTGTAGATAAAATTAAAAATATGGAACATCTCTATAAGATCTGTATGGAGTAATGGATAACGGCTTGGAATGTGGAATCGGTAGAGCCGTGTTCCAATTCCAGTCAAATCCATTACATTTACTTACTACTTGGGTAAAATGGATGAATTCTCTTCTTGCCTCCCAGACCGGGTTCTATAGCAACTGATCTACCGCAGAAAGAAATGGCAACCTGCTACGGAAAAAAAAATCTGCCTCGTCAGTCATGTATCGAAAGATACATGATCGCCTAAGCGTGTATCACGCATGGCACATAACTGACTGACTGTATAAGGTATTAACAATACTAACTGGACGGAAAAATTGAACATGTCGTCATATTTTTCTACAATCCCGATACATTTGTTGCTTATATGTTTTACGTAATTGTCAATGATGACATGTTTATGTTCCGGTTTATCATGTCTTGAAAAAAATAACTCCCCCACTTCCATCCTCTGAGCTTAATTTTGTATTTAGCATAGATCTGACACTTGATTGGTTGATTAAGACAAACTAACAAGACTTTTTTTTTGTAATTCTGACCATGTGTTTTCTTACCTTCCCCACTTTTATCTTTCGGAAAAGAAGTAACACTGCTTTTGAAATTTTCTTAAAAATCGTTTAATCTTCAGCTATAGTGTAGCGATTTCAATATGTTTTGTTACAATCTCTTATAATAATAATAATAATAATAATAATAATAATAATAATATACAGAGCAACCTCGACTTTCGAACGTATCATATGTCGAACAAATCGTTTTTCAAACAGAATATTCGAGATTAAAATGCCTCGGTTATCAAACAAATTTTCGGCTCTCGAACAACAATGCCGAACCGAGCCGAAATGAGTTAACCCGAACGGAATCATTTCTTTGTCGGTCGCGGTGTTGTATACATTCATGTGTTGTGCTGTGTTTTTCTTTTCCAATTTTATTGTACTTTGCCTCTATTTTTCTCTTCATTAGTCCCCAGTCATGGCTCCAAAGAAAGTTAACAGTGATAATGGTAAAGGAAAAAGAAAAGTTAAGAGAAAAAGTCTTGTTCATGATATTGTCTCTTCCTACTCAGTTTCAACTGCGGGAAAAAAAATCTATCTCGTCAGTCATGTATCGAAAAATACATGATCGCCTAAGCGATCGTGGCACATAACTGACTGATGGCAAAATCAACGATCTGTATTATCCTTATAAGTAAAGAGACGATCATGCCTTTTCTTCCCCTTTCCAAACAATAACATACCTTTCGCCCCGCTTCCACTTACGCCATCAACTCTCCTACTTACAGATACGATAAAATTGAAGTGTTTGTCTATATTTTATCTCTTTAGTATTGGATTTATTTATTTTTCTTAGATTTAATGATTTTCCCGAGTTTTGTGTATAAACACAAAGTACTGTTGTTAACATTTAAATAAGCAATCATCAGTGGACCGGGAACGGATTAATCCATTTTACATTGATTCCTATTGGAAAAATAGTTTCGGTTTACAAATATTTCTGGTTACGAACGGGCTTCAGGAACGAATTAAATTCGTGAACGAAGGTTCCACTGAATATATATATATATATATAAAATATGTGGTGCAATTCAATTTATATTACAATGAATCATTCATACAAAAAGTTAGTAAGGTTGATGATATAAAATGGCGAAATCCCTTCGCTAACAAAATTTTAAAGATGCATTAACCTACCAATGACTCGATGAATGTTATGTATGAACCCTGTTTTTTTTTTATTATTATAAACTGTATTAGGTTGTCCTTAAAAACACAAGTACTTTCGACTGTACATTCAGTCATCTTCAGCGCTGGAGACTATTTTGTTTTTGATAAAATTGAGATAGCAACCGAGGCGAAAATATATGCGAATCGAAATATATATATATATATATATATATATATATATATTTAAATGTGTTATTGATAATGAATTAAAACTTTTGGAGCGTGCAGTCGCAACACTAAGGTTATTTTTTTTTTAAATTTAAGTGAGTGCATTTTTTACTAATATGGCAATTTGAGAATTTTATTGTTGTAGGAGTTTATCAATCAATGTGACATGAACTAAATAATTCTATAATTATTTCATATTTTTTTGTATGAATGATTCATTGTAATGTGTATATATATATATATATATATATATATATATATATATATATATATATATATATATATATATATATTTGTTTTACTTCACCATTTAAGCATTAATTAACAAAATAATTATTTAAACAAGAAATAAATAAAAAACGGAATATTTACCAAAAACGAATGACCCTAAAAACTCAAAAAGTCCTATCTGTTATACTGGAAATGTCATTGTTACATTGTCTTTGATACTCAGAGCCTAAGGAGAGAAAAAGAATGAAAAGGAATAGGCAGAGAGTATAAGGGGAGAAGAAAATTAGGAAAAGATGAAGTAACTACGTCATTATACATACACGCACATACACACATGCCCACGCGCACATATATACACATAGAAAATGGCAACCTAACACCAATATACAGCGTATAAATTATTTTTCAGCTTAGTATGAAAATAACGAAACTCGACAGTCAATTTTTGAAACCTCTTGAAGAGTAGACCGAAACATGACAAAACCGTTCGTCTACGAAACTCTTGAGCCGGGATACTGAATATAACGTCAATCAGCTAATGACCATATATATATATATATATATATATATATATATATATATATATATATATATATATATATGTGTGTGTGTGTGTGTGTGTGTGTGTGTGTGTGTGTGTATATATATATATATATATATATATATATATATATATATATATATATATATGTATGTATGTATGTATACGTCTATCTGCCTATCTTGATGTGTCGCTGTACTTCTTCATATCGTTCAAATAATTTATGGTCATGACAGATTTAGTTAAGTTATAAAAACATTAACTATAATAAAAAAGGTGATTGAACATAGAATAGGATGAGTTAGGGCAGGTGCGAAAATTTAAATATCTGGGAAATGTTCTGACAGAGGACGGTAAGTGCGACGCTGAGATCCGAAGACGCATTGGGGTGGCCAAAAATGCTTTTCAAAAGCTAGGCAGAGTATTATGAGACAAGAGGATTTCTTTGCTAACAAAGAAAAGAATACTGGACTGCAACGTGATACCTGTCCTCCTTTACGACAGCGAATGTCGGACGATCTCCTCAAAGATGAAGAGACTCGAGGCAACGGAAGTATGGTTCTACAGAAGGATGCTAAGGATATCATGGACAGAGCGTGTGAGCAACGATGAAGTTTTGGAAAGGATGCAAACAAGAAGGAAGCTTATACTTAACATCAGGAAGAGGCATTTGAAATTTGTGGAATAAGTAATGAGAATGGAGGGCTTGGAGAATCTGATACTCGCAGGGTGGATAGAAGGAAAGAGAGACAATGGAAAGCAACGCGTGACATTACCTAGCGGGTTTGAGCAAGTGGATGGCAGGATAGGTAGCAAAAAGGACAAAACATATTGAGAACTACAAGGAATATCGGGAAGTGAAGAGCCATGATCGCCTACGTCCTGAAGGGAGACGGTACATAAAAAAAGAAATATTTTTACTCAGTACAATAACGTTAACCTAAGAACACGTTTAAATGTTCTTAAATAGTCTCCTCAGGTCAATTCTTTCATATTGATGTCATGCATGGCGTCAAATTCGTTCAGTAATATTTAAACTGTCAACTGTATATATTCACTTTCTCAAATCGATGCTTAAAAATGGCTTTTAACGACTGGAGCCTGTAGAATCTTGTTGACTGATGCCGCAGAATCACAATCAAAGAACTGTATAAAATAAGGGACACTACATAATTTGAGGACTTTCAACCGCTACATCTGAAATGTATCTGGAAGAGAAAATAATGACATAATCAAAATAAAGACGTATCACGTGACTTCGAACTAAGTTTAGGAGGGAAACCGCCATTAATACTGGGAGAGTGATTTTTGGAGGGCAAGAAGACGGCACAAAGGAAAATGTGAAGTAGACTGTGTGAAGATAAATAAAACGGAAAAGGCTGTGATGGAATGGAGTGGGGAGATCGGGAGATCGTGTGATAACGAGGGATAAGACACAAAAGAAAAAAAGGAATAACAAAGAGGTGGAGGAAAAAGTGGGGATAAAGTAGAGAAAACGAAGACAAGGAAGAAAGAAAAGGTTGATAGAGTGGGAAAGACAAAGAGGGAAAGAAAATCGGAAGCGAACAAAATAAAAATTAAAGCTGAATGAAAGGCCTAGAGAGTGACAGAGAGACAGAAAAGTAGGCAAGCGTAAAAAGATACGGGTGTTGATTAAGGGGCAAAAATAATGTTAAAAGAGAAAGTAAAAGCAATGCAAAAGAATCGGGCGAAATGAGAGCGAAAGAGAGAAATGACTGAGAAAAATGCCTAGAAGTGTTGAACGAAATATTCTGCAAGCAAATATTGCACACTTGGCCACAATCCAAACCAAAACTACGATTGGGCGAATGATTGCAAAGTAAAGAAAGCGAAAAAGTACTGAGCCGTAAATAACGTTTAGGTGGGGCTTCTCACATGTCACAGTACCCGACTCAGGGTTTCACTCTACTTACCGTCGTCATTTTTTGTCATTATTACTTTCTTTATTATTTCACTCATTGAGTATTTACGTCAGAAGTAACTTGTATAGCCAAAACCTGTAAGAAAACCGAAAGCATATTTGTCAGCAAAAGAGACAGTGCAAGGTGTGAGTTACACAACAGAGACGATGAAATCAAGCAGATAGAGTGATGTCATCTTATTGGACAGAAAATGAGTCACAGAAAATGATATTTACAGCATGCTATGTCCACAGATTCAAATTATCATAATTTTTTCAGTATACCAGTTTTAAGGAGAAAGTTTCACTTGCTTTTTTTTTAGCAAGATCTTCGTGGAACAGACTCTTACGTGGATTTCAAGTTAAGGGCCATTTTTTATCTATGATATTCATAATATTCACTTGCTACCACCTTCTTTTTCGTTCATATCTCATTTATCACAACCAACTGAGTGTAACTCTTCCTTGAGTGGCTATCCTGTTTTGTATTGAGTGAATTTTAGTATGAAAAAACTTGTAATAATTCTAATTTCAAGATTTTCTTTGTCTTTGTTCGCAGTGATCAGATATGATCCTGGGCCGGATAAAGTAATTTACACTTATTCTGGAAATTTCTCTGTGTGGTCGAATCGAAGTTAGTTGCTCGGTTCTCTGCGATTCATTTTTCCTATCCAGGCACAGTTCTATTTGTGCTCATTCTAACCTAATTTACTATATTTATTTACTTTAAAAGAAACAACTTAGTCTTTGACTATTTATAATAGATTTTTATTATTTTAAGTTTTTTTTTTCTCTGGTGGTTCACCTGTTATTTATTCCAATATACTTTTTTCCTGAGACTGCCAGAATATTCTATTTCCTTTTTGAGGTCTGCTTTGCGTATATTAATTTGATTTTTTTAAATGCCTTTTCTCTGTCTTCAGAATAGTCTACGAAGTTTGTTTTTTTTTTCAGATTTGGTTTCTCGTTTTTTGAGCTTTCTTATCCAGCATTCGTCGTCTTTATTTCAGTTATGCTAAAGTGTGTATACTGATCCAATTCTTCTTTTCATTTAGATGTGTGTGGTTTGCTTATCTTTCGATAATCGAGTCAAAATAGTGTTCGATGTTAATGAGCCCTTTGTCGTCTTTTTTTTTTTATTCATATTGTCAATCAACATCATCATTTGATTGAAGGATATTGAACATGGTCATTAACTATCTGAATCCGTTATTCTTTAATAAGGTTTAGGAAGTATCCAGAATATATTTCTGTAGATATTTTCGATTTGCTTCCTCTTGGAAATATCTATCCCTGTTAATCTTGTTTCGAAAATCTTTTTTTTTCTACTAAGTTAGTCATTCCGCTAGTGTTTATTTTTTATGTATTTATTTAGTCATTTGATATCATCTAAGAGTTTGGAGAGGATATCAAATGACTAAATAAACGCATAAAAACAACATATCTCAACACTTACCCACAGCTTAGATTTACAACACTTTTCTCGGCACATTCTAAGCAGCGCTATAGGCTACGTACTCCCAATTCACTACAGTTCAATACATAAGACATGAGATAAGGCATGGTGGTAAATGTATGCAGTCTGCTGGCACGAATACTGATGCTAAGTGATATTTAACATGTACTGTATTCATAATTTGTTTACGTTGATAATACTCTCCTGAGTAGATAAGCAGTTCCACACTATTTTTTACATCTCAGAGATGTTAATGTTCTTGCCTGCACCTTTTATTATAGGTTTAACAGGGCTCACATTATTTCAATTGCAATTTAACAAGTAATGGCTGGACCTCGTATCTGAGTATGCCTGTCTGCTCGGGTGGATAGCTAGGATTGTCTATTCACCCGAGCAAATAGCTCAACGCCCACAGAGCCCACCTGTGGTTTATATTGTAACTATGCTGAACGGACCGTTACTTACAGTTTCTAGGGGAGAGCACTTCACTGGGATCGCCGATAACATCAAGAAGTCAACTTCCTGACAAATCACCCTTGGTGAGATTCGAACCCGGATCTCATGATCGGAAAACGAACTCTCTAGCCACTCAAACACTTCAGTTTAATTCTCCTTATATGGACTCATGTATTTATATATGGGCGCGTGGCCGAGTCGTTAGAACGTTCGCTTTCTGACCATGAATCTCAGGTTCGAATCTCAAATCTGTCGGGATGTAGACTTCATGATGTTATCGGTCTTGGAGGGGGACAACCCCAGCTTGCCTGAAAACCATGCCACGGATTGACCCAATGTGAGTGTAATTGGCGAAATTGACGTTCGATAGGCATCGTGTTTAAGTGTGTTGGCCTTTGTTCAGGTTGTTGATCACGCTAGATAACACGCTGTCTCCCAGAAACTGTAACTAAGGTCTGCTCAGCATTGTTGCAGTATAAACCACAGGTTGGCTCTGTGGGTGTTGGACAACCACCAAAATGTGCCTGAGCGAGCCTCTGCAATAGGGAATAGCTAACAGACGGGTATCCTCGAATATGAGTGACCAGCTATTTATTACATATGGACATATATTTTTCACATGTAAATTTTTTATCTAATTGAATTTATGACCAGATATCTAATTTCGGTTTGTTTGTAATCCCTATATATTCTCGATTAACTTTGTCGGTCACAGTGAATAGTAAAGCACCATAGAATAGTATATTCATGACCTTATATGGCCAGCTTATTGAGATCTTAAAACTATTTTGTACTCTTTTGTACACATATATTCGAGATTCCCTTTATAAACGCTTCTCCTGTTAAAAAAATGTTTGGCATAGATTTATTTTCGCCATGTCTCAGTCAATATGACATTCTTCCAAAGACAACAACGGGAAATGTGGCTACGTTTACATTGTTGAGATTATTGTGTTTAAGGTTTTTCCTCGGGGCAAACAATTTCGTTGTTTCTTTTTCCTTATAAAAACATATAAATAAATCTTAGCCTTTTAAAATTTCAAATGACTTCCCAAAACTGCATGTATTTGAAATCGAAATAATTCATATCTCAAAACGTCAATTTATGCAGGTCTCATCATTAATAATATATACATACATACATACATATGTAGCGGGAAAAATCACTCAAATATGTGCACGTTACTGTTAAGGAAAATCAGAGATGGATATATATATGTATATATATATATATATATATATATATATATATATATATATAACGAGAGAGAGAGGGAGAGAGAGAGACGTGCATAGCTGATGGATATATCGTGAAGCTTAGATGTGGGACAAGTCCGAAAGTACAAAGCACCCAGTGACGGTTGAACTTATTATTTAGCCATAATCGATCTAGTCAGACAAGCTTGCTAACCACTACATCTCGTCGAAGTGCCCAGAGACGGTATATATATATATATATATATATATATATATATATATATATATATATATATATATATATATATATGTTTGCCTGCACTGACAACACGAGAATCGTGCACACTCTTTAGCACACACAGATATATATATATATATATATATATATATATATATATATATATATATATATATATATATATATATGCTATTACTGCTGAGATATCAATTACATATGTTCCATGCAGAATTTTTGCATACGCGTTCAATACAAAAAAATGTATACACACATGCACTATATATAGAGAGATATAGAACTAGAGTAAAAATATATATATATATATATATATATATATATATATAGAGAGAGAGAGAGAGAGAGAGACACACATATATATGTACTATTGCTGCTGAGATATCACTGACCATATGTTTCAAACAATATCAAATTACCATCTAATACATATGTATGTGTACTTGCAATATATGTGTGTATTCGTGTGTGTATGTATGTGTACTTTATGATTGTTTGTGCTCGTCTAAGTGAAGAAACTTAAGGGTCGATAAGTGTCTGTGTTTGTGCTGTAAATTTTGAACTTGCTGTTACTCTCAATAAAAGTACTTTGAACAGGACAGGAAAGCGTAAAAAAAAAAGTATTAAGAAAGACTCCCGTGTGGTGTATTTGAAGCCTGTTACCAGAAAACCGAATGAGAATAAAGGTTTCTGATCAGCTGTCAAATTTGCTCAGTGAAACCAGGTTTGCAATGTTTGAAGCATGCATGATGAGTATCGGCGACTGTCGACGATGACTAATGCAAGTATAGAAAATGGTAAATCCATTGATTTAGGAAATCTCGATGAAATATAGTAACCAGCGTTTTTTTTTTATGCTCAGTATCGGCAGTTATATCTAAATAAAGTAAACCGATTTTCAATCGATTTTACAGTATCAACTTTTTTTAAAAAATAACTTTGAAGACTTCATGTATGTGCTTTACTGAAGAGGTCGGCAACGGACGACACGCACGCTGCACGTGGCACGTAAAGCAATTTCAAATGGCACGCAGCCACAAATGGCATTATGAAGTCCGAACCAATAACTACTGCAATGCAAAGAAGATATTTAGCTGTTTCAATTTTAATATGTACTAAAGTGCATATACTGTATATTACCATATAGAATATATTGTAGAACAGGCATATTGACCTTGATTTGTATAAAAATACGTATACTGTTGGCACACAGAATGGTTTTAAAACCCTACGTCGCCATATAGTTAGCAAAAGTTTGCCTTAGTGGACTAAAATGTCATATAAAAATCCACTAAAATATATACATAAACACACAATATGTAAAACTCCTGCAATAGGTCCCCAAAGTTGCCACGTCTTCGGCAAAGGATGTTACACCCTGGCGAAACTAAAAAAAGTCATATCAGCCCTGAATATATTTGACCATGGACGGGTTCCTCGCACCAAAACAAGGTAAACTGTCCATATAAACATACGTCCAAAAGGTGATCGTTGTACTTCTACGCAGCCATTATTAAAAAATGTTCAAATATCCTACGCTTGCTTCTACACATGAATGCACCCGGTGGATCATTGACTGGTGGACCCTTTCAAATACCCCCACACGGTGTCGAGTGGTTTCGCAGGCCCTCATGATACTTTGATGGAGACCCTTCGCATTATTAATGGCTGTTGCATAAAACCATTTTTATAGGTTTCCCCACAAATAAATTGGATTGTGGTTTGCGGAGGGTGCAGGCCATGGAACCAGTCCTCACCTACCCTATCCATCTTTCATGGTAGATGTCAGCCAGTGCATCGCGAATATTGTGACTAAAACGTGCTTGATCCCCATTATGCATGAACTATATGCGTCTTAGCAGGGGTACATCCTCTAGCAGGTCTGGAAGTATGTTCGAAATAAAGTCATTGTAAACATCTCCTGTCAGACGTGCTGGGTGAATATATGGACCTAACAGACAGCCTCCGACAATTCCAGCCAAAGCATTAATTGTAAACTGATGCTGGTGTCTAGTCAGTATTGTACCATGGGATTCCTATCCGCCCACAAATATTGGTTGTTTGACATATATTTCAGTCAACTGTCGCATGTGTTTTTGTTTTTTGTTGTTTTTTTATAAAATTTCATGGACAGATAAATTCTGCTGAATAAGAATTTGGTAGCTTTTGTGGTGCCTTCAATGAGAAAAAATTCAAATACGTCTTTAAGATAGAGGTCTACTTTATCATAAAAGGCCCTGGAATTGTAAGTCTGATTTCTGATTTCGTGGTCGGTGAGAAATTCCGATGTGTGAAACGAAATTAAAAAATCTGAAAATCATCTTCATAAAATGTTGATCTCCTAACATCTTTCAACAACTTTCTTCACCAAAATCCTCAACTGCAGATATTGGGAATTTTTTAGTTGGCTGGTTGTCTTTCATATTACGGCCATTATTTATTTTATCTGAACCGCATTTTGGTTGAGCGTGACTCAGGTTTGAAGAATAAGTATTACTCATATATTTAAGTGGTCAGCTTTTCTTCTGCTCCTTAGCAGATTCTTCATTTAGACAAAAAAAAAACACTTCATGTAAAATACTGATTATGATTGTTTCTTTTGATTATATCCTCATTGCCGCAAATTATAAATCTACTTTAAGCAATTTACATTATTCACATTGTTGTCCTCATTTTTATTGCTATATTTACGACGTTTCGGCCGTTGTACAATCCGGCCTTCTTCAGGTGGTTGGAATTTCAAATTGAACCCTTTATTTTGTCCCCCGGCTATATTTTTCTAGTTCCACCTGCCATGCCTCTTCCTCAAGGACATAAGGCCCAGTTGATAAAAACGTTGGTTGGATCCAGTGACTTGACCCAAAGAGTTTTGAGTTCAATACCTAGCTACTGCAGTTGTGAAGAAAAAGTTTGACAGCTGAGTTAAAGGGAGATAACTGATTTGTGGATTCCTGAAATTTGGTTTCCGTTAGCAATTCGCCGCTTAAATGGAAAGAAAATGTTCCAGTTTTTAAACAAATTCCGAAGGGCGATGAAAAGTAGTAGAAAAAGTCACAGAGATTAACGTTCTCTTTTTAGATTTCAATCAGTACTACCTGCATATGCAGAGACAAATGGTGAGCTGGGCGAATATATAATCAAAAAGAACCTAGCAGTATTCAATTTAGCTCCAGCTTTTGATGCTATAAACAATCAGAATGTCTTATTAGTTTTGTTTTTATTATTATTATTATTATTCGGCCGAGCTCGCTCGGATATTCATGAGTCTGTCACGCCAACCATCGCGGTATTGGCATCAAGATTGGAATGTCATTAGGGTGGCATCCTCTGTCATACCATAACTGATCAATGTAGGTGATTGCTGGGTAGCCAACCCATCTTGCTCCATCGCTACGTATCCAAAGTAGTAGATCACTTGTGAGTTATTGTTTTACTCACCAGTAGTGTCCTACAAAACGCATTCTGTGTTCACGTCGAATCTTTTATATACCTAGGAAGCGAAATCATTTCTACTGAAAAGGATGTTAAAATTCGCATAGCTAAAGCATGGTCCACTTTGAATAAAATGGCTGTTTCTGTTTTGTTTTTTTAAATCATTTCACTCCCGATAAAGTGGGAATGCCCCTAGTATGTTGGGGGTTACATGGGGTGAAACTGAGAGAAAAGACTGCGTATAGGGAAATTGAAAAAGGGACAGAATATGACCGGGATTCAAGAAGAATGGCAATTGACGTTACATTTAAATTTTTGAAGATTTTAATTATCAGCGAAGCAAATAAACGGAGTTGAGTTCCACAGGCGGGAAGTACGAGAAAATAAACTATTGGCGTAAAAGTGTCGGTTGTATTTAACTATTTCAACAATAAACGTGTGGGACTTAAATGCCAATCTAGTAGCACGCTTAAATTCATGTAGTCGGGAAACCAGGGTAAAAAAGCTCGTCGTAGAAAAGACAGAGGGAAGCCACGCCACGTCGATCACAAAGTAACTGAAGTTGAGATGCTAAGTCAGCATCAATTCCATTACAGACACTGGAAACTTGATCTACCTGACAACCTCAAGCGGAGATTCTTTTGAGCCACTGTAGATGTGGTGTTAGTGAAGGCGCCACTGTTTGGACATTAACTAAAACCCTAGCAACTAAGATTGATGGAATCTACACTCGGATGCTGAGAGATATACTTAACAACTCTTATTAGTACAGAAACAAAAATTTGTCGATGAACTACATAGACGCACAATATGTATAAGCGCGTACATGTATATTTACGCATGCGCGTCAGTGTGTATCTTTCGACTAATCAAAGGTGACAAGAGGCACGGATGCGTAGCAGGTGATGTCGAAAGAGAGAGAGAGAAAGAGATAGCGAGACGCCTGCGTAATATAACTGCTTCTTGGAGACGCGGCGCCAGTAAACAGGTGTAGAAGATATGTTCAAGAAGAGAAGTACATCGGTTGAGCCAATGTGGTTTAAAAAAAGAAACAAGAAAAAATGGTAGATCTATTGCCAGAGAAGCATGTACTTATCAGTAAACGATGTAAAAAGACAAGAGGCGGACACTATAGGACACATGAGGAATTGGGTGGGGAATATGTTGCTATGGTTTCGAACGATTTATGTAAGCAAGCTCTTTTATTTCTGATTCGCTCTATCAGTGACATAATTTTAAAGACACAGACATGTGTGTTGTTCCATTTATTAAAATATCTACTCATATATATGTTTCTATACTTATTTCTATACCTATTTCTTATCAATATATGGAGGCACATTGAATAGCAGCTCGGTTTGAGGAATCGGAGAGCCAAGTTCGAATTCCAGTCGAATCCATTATATTCACTTACGTGCTAATACCTTTGGGAAAGGTATTAATCCTCTTCTCCCACCAGCTATGGGTAAATCGCAGGACAGACTGGGTTCTATAGCCTTGGATAGCAACTAGTAGAAGGACAATCTGAATTCAAAACCAACGGAGGGTCGTTTAGGGACCTCGTGGCACGTAGTGTACAAGGTCTCTGTATTCAGCTCTTGTTCTGCATAAAGCCTTCACCGCTATAATCA